GCTCTACAATTTTCGGTTGAATTCACGTTCTTGTCGTTCTCCTCTCAATCCTTATTCTTCTACCGCTTCTTCTTTCTATTCTATTCCAACAACAATAAAATAACCCTATTATTCTATTATTCCTTATTGGGCTTAAAACCAATACACCCCCTTATTACTTCTATTCCTTCAAAATAAACCCACATCAAATAATATTATATCTCTAATATTATTTATCCACTTAATAAAATAATTAAATCCAATTAATTATAACACATCTTCACAAATATTCCAAAAATTAATTTAATTAAATAATTAATTAAATTACGGGCGTTACAACTCTCCCCCACTTAGAATATTTTCATCCTCGAAAATTTACCTCAATCAAACAATTCATGATAGGAGTCTCGTATCTTGCTCTCCAACTTCCAAGTCATGCTTTCACCAGCAGCTCCTAGCCAAACCACTTTAACCAAGGCAATCTCTTTGCCCCTCAGAGTCTTCACTTCACGATCCGCCATCCGTACAGGCATCGTCTCCACCGTAAAATTATCCCGTACTTGCACATCGTCCATATGATCACATGAGATGGATCTGAAATATACTTCCGAAGTTGCGACACATGAAACACATCATGCAAATTCGAAAGATTAGGCGGTAAAGCCAATCTATAAGCAACATTCCCCACTCTCTCTGAAATCTGATACGGTCCAATAAAATGAGAAGTGAGTTTCTTAGACTTCAATGCTCGTCCAACACCAATCACTGGTGTAACTCTCAAATACACATGATCGCCAGCTTGAAATTCTAAATCATTCCTTCGCTTGTCATGATAAATCTTCTGTCTACTATGTGAAGCTTTCATCTTTTCTCGAATCAACTTCACCTTCTCAGTAGTCTCACGAACAAGTTCAGGTCCAAGTACTACACTTTCACCAGATTCATGCCAACATAACGGAGTTCTACATCTTCGACCATATAATGCTTCAAAAGGTGCCATCCCAATACTGGAATGATAACTATTATTATACGTGAACTCTATCAACGGAAGATAAGTATCCCACGAACCTCCCTGCTCAAGAACACATGCCCTCAACAAGTCTTCTAACGATTGAATCATCCATTTAGTCTGACCATATGTCTGAGGATGATACGTTGAACTCAACCTCAACTTAGAACCCAACGCTTCTTGCAAACTCTTCCAAAAATCAAAAGTAAATCTTGGATATCTATCTGACACAATGCACAAAGGAACACCATGCAACTTCACAATCACACTAGTATAAATCTCAGCCAACTTCGGCACTGGAAAACTGATGTTAATAGGAATAAAATAAGTTGACTTCGTAAGCCTATCAACAATCACACAAATCGAATCATGACCTATTAAAGTATTAGGCAATCCTGTCACAAAGTTCTTTGCTTTAAAGCTCTTTACACAAAGATGAAATATTTACGTTTGAGAGTTCACGTGAAAAGTTGTTTTTGCAAAAGTTATTTTCCATTCTTCCAGTTCTTCTTTATATATCCAAAGAAAGACCCGTTAGAGAGTAGAATGGGAATTCTAAATTCCAATTGTATTCTTCATAACAGTTAGTGAGAGTGGTAGACACTATCATACCATAGTACTGTCCTTGCGCCACAAAATCATAGTAGTGGGAGGAAAATTTAATCTTATACCATGTACTATTCACTCACGTAAAACCTTTTTTATCTTATCATTTAATCTTCAGAGGCTTCAAAATATGTGTTGTTGAAGCATTGCTTAGAAGGATCAAAAACCAGAATGAGAGTCTTCAAAACCTTGTCTTCAGAGTCTTTAGAACTTGTTCAGCGGAACCATGTCTTAAGAGTCTTCAGAACTTGGTCTAAAACCTTAGAACTAGAAAGTGTAGAATCTTCAGAGCTTGAGAATTCTTCAGAAGCTCTTTCATCAGAGTCACAGTGAGAAGATTTAGACTAACATTATTCATAACTCTTGTTTAGAAACATTCTAGAACTTCAAAATTTCTTTGTAACACATATTTTGTATCTCTTCAGAGTCAGAGTGTGTTGATTCCTGAAACTGATGATGTCACACACTATTCTATTAGAGTAAGAACCTGTTAGCAAAAGCTACATACTAGACAAAAATATTAGGGTATACAATTATTCTTTAACAAACAATGTATTGCTATCATCAAAACTAAAGGCCAGATGTAAAACCAAATTTTGTTCTTACATAAAATGCTAAGTGTAGATATTCAAGTCATACTTTTGACATCGTCACAAATTCAATTTGTTAACCTTTCCGACATATGCGGTGATTTTGACTCGCCTATGAAATCAGGTGTTTGAGACTTATTATATTATGGAGTCCATAGATTGGATGACTTAAAGACGTTTTCAGCAGCAGTGAAGGTTTTCAGCAGCAGTATACGTGTTAGATTTTTAAGAGTTAGTCGTTGTTGGCAGTTGATAATGTACCTAATATATAAGCGAATTTTGACTATGTAGTCAAGTGTTGTAATTCATTTTTTTCTCTTTAAAACTCATACATCCGATTCACTGAGATAACGAGTTTGTGAGAAATGTATGAACACGCGTTCCATTTTCAATTCAAGCATTTCAATTACTTTATTGTTGTTTACTTATTTACTTGCTTTTGTTAATTTAATCACTTTTACTATGTTTATTTACATTAGAAATCCTTTCAGCACAATTTCAAGTGAACTAAAGCTCATGATTGTTTACTAAAAACACCAGTAAACACATGTACATCACCTTGTTAGGGTAATTCTGAATCACCGTCCTTAGATGCATTATCTTTGATCACAATATTATGATGCACAATAACTACAACCAATAAAAAATAAGATATTTTTATACTTTCTAAAAGTATAATACACGACAATCTCTAGTGATTAAAGGCTGCCAGAGATTTTTAGGGTTTATTGTGATGTTAGAGATAACTTACGCAAAAATGTGAGGTACTATATACGTGGTATCTTGAGTTGTAAATTTGGTTCACTTCTCACCCTTAGGAATGAGTTATTTATATAAATCTTGAGTTTGGGTCTTAGGCTACTAAAAGTAGCAACCACTTCTAGGAGTGTGGAAAGGGGACAATTAATTCCCTATTATTCAGGAGAACATAGCCTTTTTCCATGTTGACTCCCTCTTCGCATGGTTGTGGATTAGGACACATCAATTTCCATGTTTTTATGAATCAAGCGAGTCATCTCAGAAATGGGCAAAATAACCAAGAAATAGGAGTTCGCTTCAATAAGTGTGTAGTTGTGAGGTGGGAGTGGGTGACATGTTATGTCCTTCCTTTAGTGAACATTTTGCGTCACCTACTTTAGATTCTTTACGAATATACCGCTCCAATTTTCATTCAACATTCATATAATCTAAAATTTAATTTCCAGACAAATTTTTAAAGAACTGAATTGCAATTTCTGGACTATGCATTCATGTTATTGGAAAAAAAAACAGATTATCATAATGATCATCAATGATAAACATGTATATTATCTACGGATTTGAGCATGTGCAACATGGTCCATTGCAAATGGCATATGCGCATTGAGCGCATTCAAATTTTAATCTTCGAAAAGTACATAGAGTACTTTCGAGTTTTCATAGAGTTTGAAAGAACTTGTAAAAATGCAATGAGTAAGATTGTTAAAATAAATTGAAGTTAAAATAATTAAAATATTTGATTGGTGAATCAAATCATGTTACACAAACAATTTTAAATTGAACAAAATAATAAAAAATCAAAACAAAACTAAAATCGAACCAAAACTAAACAATGTTAAACACAAGTTATAAATTTTTTGTTAAAAAAATTTGTAACATCGAAAACCTATCCTCAATTTGATATAGTTTAGAATTCTGAACCAACAACGTTCCGGCTTAAGGCCAAAAGGTTCCTCATAAAATCATGAACGTTGGTTGGTGCATTTACGAGAAAATGAAATTGGTTGAGAAAAAGATTCCGTTGCCGGGACTTGAACCCGGGTCTCTCGGGTGAGAGCCGAGTATCCTGACCAACTAGACTACAACGGATTGATGTTCGTACCGAAAAATAAAACGAAAGAATTCGCTTCTGATGAAATTGTAGTAATGAGGGTGGAGAACCTCAAACCCTAATCAGCATCAAAGAGAATCGCAAGCACCTTTCTCATCTTCCTTATCAAATTACAGGTGCACAATTTTAGTCTCTGAGTTATTTAGTACCATTGCATTACCTAATGTAGTTGCTGAATTAGTTGTTGCTCTAATTTCAGAGATTTTCTTATAATACTAATCAATCTTGTTAATAGTTAGTATTTTTCCCATTCTAGATGCTAGCCCACTTGCCTTATTTTCAATCTTAGTGGTCATAGAAGGCTTATGCAGTTCCCTTATTTTCAATCTTAGTGGTCATAGAAGGCTTATGCAGTTCCGTTACCAAAGTTCAACTTGGATATTTTTCCCATTCTTCAGTTCACTAGCCTGACTTTGGCAATCGCATATGTTGTGGACAGTCTCCTGCTGTCAATCTCAGTTACGAGTCCAATTGTCCGAGGGTGTCGATCTCAGTTACGAGTCCAATTGTTCGAGGGTGCAGTCTCACTCAACAAGCAGATCTGATGTCTGCAATTTGTTTGATTAGTAGATATTTTGACACAGTGAAGATAATTATGAAGTGCTTGTAGAGCTTGGCATACCGTACCCACACAAGTGAAAAGGAAGATCTGATAGAGTTATAGAAAAATCATATCTGGTCATATACTAAATCTTGGCATTGGAACCATTTTTGCCCCCAAATCTCCTAACAAGATCAAACTCAAGTATTACCTGCATGATTCGACTTCAACTTTATTTCAAAATCTAATATTGAAGTTATATTAGTATCATACTCAATTTCTAATTAGTTCTCTATAAACATGACTTACATGCATTTTAGAGCTTCAAAGTTATCATCACAACCTGATATTTTGTCTTGTACACTTGAACAGCTGCTGCATCAGCAAGGAGTAGGTGATGTGCAACTAAATACCGCCGGTGCAGTTGAGATTTTGCCAATCAGAGCATCGACCAGGTGGAAACATCCCTATCGCATATCCAGATGTTGTGTAAGTCGATGGTTCATTTATAGTAATCCAATATTTCACTCTATCTCCAAATTCCTTGAAGCAAAGCTCCGCGTAATCCCGAAAATCAAATCTAAATGTTCATAATAGAAAAGTATAATCACTCTTTACTGTTACATACTAAAAAAGATACCAGTTTTCTGCATTTTAGAAACATACACTTATACAATACATTTAGATACAGTTTTAGTATATTTTAGTGAGAAACATAACAGTAACATAAAAAATTGTTATTTACACTATAAGAGGACTTAAGAAACCTCCATATTCATCTTCCAAAGCTTGAGGTAGATCCCAATGAAAAATGGTTACAAATATTTTTCTTATCAATTATGATTGCATAAATGTCTTGAGAAATTATAAAATCAAATTTCAAGATTTACAAAAAAGATAAATAGTTGGATTATCACCATTAGCTAATAGGTCGTTGTAGTATGTGATCCCTTCTTGATTTACACCTCCACTTATTCTTCCATCTGTAAATAAATTCTTTTTAGTTATGCATTACTTAATTAAGTAAATGATAGAAACTGATCATAAATCAACTTACTTGGTAGTATTCTAGACCATGAGATGATAACCTGTATGCATCTAAATTTATATTCTTCATGATTCCAACATCTTTCTGTAATATAAAAATTTAGTTATTCTATTCCAATCTTTTAAAAGTAGTAAAAAAAACCATTTAACTATTGATTATAAACTATAATAAATTCAATTTGTCGAGTTTAGTTTTAATATTCCCTACTCTGATATGAATCATACCTTGTACCGATGATACCCATCAACAGAGACTTCTCCGGTGTTTCTGTCGACTATTTTTTCCGTATATATAATTTGTTGTTTCGTTTTAGATTTTCTTGTTTTATTTTAATCTTTTTAATATATTTATTTTATTCCTTGTAATATTTAATTTATAGGTAACCGGTGATACTCTTATGTGATAGTGACAATTGAAAAAATTGAGGTTGAAAAAATATTTTATAGAGATTAAAATGAAAACATATATATAATAAAATTTTATTTAAATAAAATAACAAATTGACAGACGTGAAACAAATATTTTCATATAGACCACTTAAAAACAGCAATAATAGGCTAACTAGTACAAATTTTTTATTTTTTTATGGTGAAATAGATATAGATAACTAGTACATTTGATGGGTTTGAGAAACCAATTAATTTGCGAAATATTATTAGGTATAGCTTTTATCAGTAAACTATTAGTATGAGAAAAAAAAAATGTACTGACAGTGTAAAATATTTTTACACTATCAACCAATGAAGACCATGTTTCCGACCAAGTTACACTTTTAATTTAAAAATACTGATATGACACGGCAGAATATTATAATTCTATTGGATGATGGTGTTTACAGTGACACTGCACTACCTTTAATCTCATAAACTATTAATTTATATAAATTTTGTTATGATAATTTAGATCAATATTTATATATTAAGTTTTTTAACTCCGTATTAATATTTTTTTATATAGGTTAAATACATGGTTATTAGTTTATAAGATATTATATTGCTTAAGATAAATTCTATAAAAAATAAAAAGTATTCAAACAAATAAATGAATAATATGGATTGGGTCAATTTTATTCGAAATTTATTAATTTAGATTTGGTCAAAATTTATTGATTTTTATATGAAACTCCACCCACTCAACCCAACCATGAACAAATTAATTTAGATTGGACCCACAAGGGTGTTAATGATGCGAAATCTGCTGACTTAAACTGAATCAACCAACTAATTATTGAGACTCAAAATCGTTTATTTATTTATGAGTATACTAACCCTTCCTAACACAACTCATAATTTTAGTTCAGTTATTATTATATTAAAGTTTTTTAATCCGTTGACGTGTCATTAATGATTTTTTATTATTTTTTATTATTTCAACACATAAAAGTCTTCAATTGCACATTATAAAATGAAAATTTCTCATGTTTTCAATAAATTGAGTTCACAAGTTTGAATTATAATCGGTTACTTGAATCAAATCACTCTTTCGAGATTGTTTGAGTTTAAATCAATTTATAAAAAAATTTAATCAAATGCTTTAAATGGATAATCAGGTTAATTGAATTGTTCCATTCTTATGAACACATTTAAATCAAGGATTGCAGAAGCGTTACCCGGATATTTTTAGGTATCCATATACTTGTTCCTTGCCATCTTCCATTGCACCACCTTCATACTGTGTTTATATATAAGAATGATTATGTTGTGTGTGGTAGTTGTTTCAAAATGTATCTAGAGTTGATTAAGTATGTATAAGTATGAAGTGTAACTATGGAAAGAGTAAAGAATAATGATGTATATACCTGATATGCAGAAGTTGATGTTCCAAATACGAAGTCTCTTGGAAAATTATTTTGATTCAATGAAGTAACATCAAAAACATTGGCAGAAATATTTGAAGAGATATCTTCTGAGAAAGTTTTCAATGCCAATGTACTGGTACTAATCTACCATATAAGAAATGAGTATGTTGTGGAAAGCTTAAATTTGTCCTTTTATAAAAAAGGCTATTTTATGATTATATTAGAGTTGTTTCTGTCTTGGTACCATTGACCCAATTAAATCATGCAAGACCTAATTATCAATCCCATGTCTCATGCTGGCTACACGTTAAGGGATCAGAAACTATTTTACAAGGAGAAATTGGTGTTGTCAAAATCATCCTCCAGGATTCCCATCATTTTAAAAGAATTCCATTCATCTTTGGTAGGAGGACACTCAGGAATCTTCAGGACTTATAAAAGAATAGCCGATCTAGTTTATTGGGAAGGGATGAAAACCGACATCAAAAATTTCGTTGCAGCCTGCGAAGTCTGTCAAAGAAACAAAAGCGACAACTTGTCACCGGCAGGACTACTACAGCTATTACCAATTCCTACTCAAGTATGGACAGACATTTCGATGGATTTTATTGGAGGACTACCCAAATCCATGGGAAGGATACAATTCTGGTGGTGGTTGACCGGCTCACCAAATATGCACACTTCATACCATTAGGGCATCCTTACACCGCTATCGATGTTGCTGCAGTTTTTCTACAGGAAGTTGTAAGATTGCATGGATTTCCGTCTTCCATTGTTTCAGACCGCGATCCTTTGTTTTTAAGTAATTTTTGGAAAGCCCTTTTTAAAGCAGCAGGTACACAACTAAAATTCAGTTCGGCATACCATCCTCAAACGGATGGACAAACTGAAGTTGTCAATCGATGCTTGGAGGTTTATTTACGATGCTTAACAGGTACTAAGCCTAAGAAATGGGTCTCTTGTCTTCCCTGGGCAGAATTCTGGTTTAATACCAATTATAATGCTTCAAGCAAAATGTCCCCTTTCAAAGCATTGTATGGACATGATCCACCTCACATTCTTAAGGGATCCACCATTCCTTCCCGCCTTGAAGAAGTCAACAAACTTACAATTGCTCGAGATGAATTATTGGCGGCTCTGAGAGAGAATTTGTTGTAGTCCCAAGATGTCATGCGCACAAATGCGAACAAACGCCGCCGAGATATAGCATATGAAATCGGTGATTGGGTGTTCTTAAAGATGCAACCTTACAGGAGAAAATCCTTGGCTAAAAGGATTAATGAAAAACTCTCGCCTCGATTTTATGGTCCTTTCCAGGTGTTAAAAAAAGTGGGTGTTGTTGCTTACAAATTGGATCTTCCATCTCATAGTAAAATTCATCCAGTATTTCATGTCTCTCTCCTCAAGAAGGCCATTGGCGATTCTTTCCAATCTCAACCTTTACCACCTATGCTATCTGAGGATCAAGAATTACAGGTTTATCCGGACTCTGTTTTAGATATTCGTGAATTACAACCTGGCAACGCGGAAGTCTTAGTTAAGTGGCAGAATCTGCCTACAAGTGAAAATAGTTGGGAATCTGTGGCTAAATTACAAGAGGTCTTTCCAGATTATCACCTTGAGGACAAGGTGAATCTTTTAGGCGGGGGTATTGATAAGCCTAGGCCACCCATCACCAAGTTTTACACCCGCAGGCAGCGACTCCCAAGGAGTGCAGGATCAGGAGATGCGAATCAGGGGGCGTGACCCTTGGTGAACAGACACACCCACCCGAAAGGATGCGACCCTTGGAACCAAACAGCATCAAATCTAACAATTATAACCCTTCAAATTAATTGTGCCAATTAGGAACAAATGTAAATGTAGTATAAATAGAAGCAAATCAGAATTAGGAAGACATTCAGAAAATTAGGAAGAATTTGAATTGTGGAGAGACAGGCTCTCGAAAACCTGTGTTGTAATAATCCAATATTATCTACATAAATTTCAGTATTCATCTTTTCATTTCTGTTCCAATTTTTTTGGCTCTTATCAGTATTTCCCTCACTGAAAAACCCATTTGCTCCTTTTAGGGACATTTACACGATGTGTTTGACCTCTCCTGGTCTAAGTCTCAGGTTACCTCCTGTTTTTCAGATAGGTTTTTGTATTTTGGTTTCCCTGAGGCATTTTCGATGTCTTGGTGTGTATATATGTAAGGTTTACTATTCACTCTTATGTTAACATTGGTTGATTTTGGAGATTGATGCAACTACGGTATTATTGGAACAAGTAGAAAGAGTTTGGTCCCAATGAAAAGATTTCTGGATCTATTTCGTTTTGATTTTAGAACAAAAGGGGTGGAAATGTGAAGTTGCAACCTATAGTGATGTCGTTGTCTGAGTTTGATCATGCTGATTAGGGTGATGCGCTGCACGGTTAGTTTCTATTTTTTTTGAAGATAATGAGTGAATTGTTATTATGGATGAGTGTTTCGCAAACATAGTCTTGAATAGAGTTGATTAGGTTTGAGTTTGAACTGAAGTTATATGATTTGTGCCAAATTACCAGTAATGGTTAAAAAACACCAAATACATGATATGATTTACTCTATGTGGAATAGGAAGTTATCCTTAGGCAGATATGCAATTTAGAAACATGAACAAATAAAATGTTGATTGCTTTTTATTTTGTGTTCCGTGGCTGAAAGAAATTCTGTTGTCGCTTTCAATTATGCAGGCATGGTTAAACCATCCAAGCTTTTAACATACTTCCAGTGGGGTGCCTTGATGGTGGCAGGTCTGTGCAGGTAAATTACACTGCTTTAGATAGATTTAATATTGGAAGATGCATTTTTTTAATTACTTCCTTAAAATGCTGTAAAGTTCAAAGCATAAAGTAGATAATGTAGAAAATAGAGCGTTTAGTAATTATCAATATGGAGTTGTTCGCTTTGCCTGTATGATGATTGGTAGAAACAAATCACTGGAAGGTTTTTGTTTTTCTACATAAATATTATCATTCATGAGTAGGTGTCTATTGTTTTTCCCAAATGAAATTTGTGATTTTTGTTTTATAACATATTCTTGCAGGGTGCTTTTGGAAAAGGCGCACTAATGATATTTGGTTTGACCATTTATTCATTGCTAGGGTTGGGAGTGGTAAGTTTAATCTTTTGACCAAATGGCTGTCATTGAAGGTCATCTCTAGAAGAGATAGAAGAATGTCTTAATAAGTTGTATGGTGAAAAAAATAGAGCATTTATCAGTAATTGTGCCCTCCTTGATACCGGTAATCGGGTGTTTGACATTGATGGTGTTTATTAAGTTTGTATAAAGACCAATCAATTTATTTGATCTATTTTATTATTATTTGATTTCTTATTATTAAGCTAATAAATTTAGATTGAGTTAATGCATTTATCAGTAATAATTTTTATTTACAGTAATTTTTGTTATATTTTATTTCTTGTAGTTTAAATCAATTTATTATTTTATTTATAAAATTCTAAATAAATAAATTAGTTGTGTATGAAATTAATTTAAATAATTAATTAAAGTAAAATAATTTGTATATTTAATGCTCACTTATTGTGCAATCACTATAACCACAAATTAATGATAATTTTTTAAATTTGATGTTAATCAAAATATTTTTATAAACACGCCTAATTATGCACTAACAATCCAAATATGTCTAAAATATATATATTTTTATTATGATCATTATAAAATGACAATTAATTAGGACTTAAAATGTTTTCACAAATTTATTAATTAAATGATAGTTTTTATCATCCTAATAAAATATAAAAACAATATCTATTATTGGTCATTTTATTTAATGACGATATAGTTAAGGTTGGTTTCATAGTATGTGAGGCTCTCGGACAGTGTGATATCAGAGTCTCAACAGAAATAAAAGGTGCATATGACATGAATATAATAAAGAGAGCAAGTAAGGGAGAAAAATACTTAATCATGGCGCTATCACAACCAAACACTCATCCTATTACCATCATAGCAAAAATATTTGAAGAAATATCTTATGAGAAAGTTTTCAATGCCAATGTACCGGTACTAATCTACCATATAAGAAATGAGTATGTTGTGGAAAGCTTAAATTTGTCCTTTTATAAAAAAGGCTATTTTATGATTATATTAGGGTTGTTTCTCTCTTGGTACCATTGGCCCAATTAAATAAATGATTTCCATATCCAATTAATCTGGTTGGACGAATTCAGTTGATATTCTCACACTATCATAATGTCTGTCGTTCCAATTTATAACATTTTGTTCAGTTTCTCACGCTATGTCATTATCAAAGTTTGCTATTCGTTTCAGCTTCCCATCGATTTTCGTCCTTCTTTCCCTAATAAATTCACTTGCAGGTAGTCTTAGATTGTACAAATCATCTTTTGTTTTAGTTGTAAGTTTGCATAATGACGATATAGGTAAGGTTGGTTTCATAGTATGTGAGGCTCTCGGAAAGTGTGGTATCAGAGCCCCAACAGAAAGAAGGGGTGTATATGACATGAATATAATAAAGAGAGCAAGTAAGGGAGAAAAGTACTTAACCATGACGCTATCACAACCAAACACTCATCCTATTACCACCACATCTTCCCTATCACTTCCTAAACTCTGTAAAAAGACTGATACCCATAAAATAGAAAACCTTGTTGAGTATTCTTATGTTTCAGAAGATGCTCAAATTGCCGAAACAGTACCTCCCCTTTTAAGCCCTTATAATATCTTTTAAAAAAAAAGAATAATTACCAGATCAATTAGAAACCTAATCTCTACCAATCGCCCTCATATAAAAGAGTACGTCCAGTCATCCCGACTAGACCATTGTAGTTTGAGAGCTACAAACCAAGAGCAGTATGTAGATTTAGAGATTCCTCAGAGTCTCATAAATCACTGGAAATCTGAAGGATACACAACTTTATATTTTGGAGCAGTTAGACTCATTCTCTCTCTCCATGAAAGAAAAAATCAGCATGTCTTATGTAAAATAGCTCTCCTAGATTCGAGCTATCTCCAATATGAAAATGTTGTCACATGAATTGTTCTAACCTCACTTCATGCAAGAAGTGTTGTTCTTACTGTTTTTCCAAATTATAATGTAAGCCTCAAGGACAGCACCCTATCTACAAGATTAAAAGTCCAAGTTCAAATCACTAGATCTGTCCAAGTTTCAGAGGCCATGTCCGCTACTCTCCATCACCAAATAATCTATCGCCTACAAAATCATTCGATAGGTTTGTCCCTTACTGGATGTTCTTCTGATTCTCTGTTAGTAGTTATGAATAGAGAAGAAGATACCCTCTATCGTTCAGATTTCAAGAAAGATCACAAGGGAAGAACTAACTCAGTTAATTCCTCTTGAGTGGATAACAAACTATGAAAAAAATCCATCAAGATAGAATACAAATACAATCTCAAGAGGCCACCTTCAGAAGATCCTTTGATAAAACGGTCAAAATAATTTTCAAAAAACCAGATGAAGGACCGAGTTCAATTTCTCCTATTTTTCAGACCATGATGATCCGACCGATTCTCAAAGAAGATTGTTGCCCAATTCATGCTGTTACTAGTAAAGGAGAACCTATCTACACTGACAAGATACATGGTCATTTTATTTGGGACGTAGATCCCAATAAATGCGACCGAGGATGTGAATGTTGGATGCACGATAATGGATATGACAATGATATTATCCTTCCGAAAAGAAGAAAAAAACGGAGGCGTGCAAACCATATCTTCCTCCACAAAGAAGATATGATCCTGATAACGGTCCATGGGTAGGTATCCATGATAAAAAGATATCTCTTCCTATTTATGAGGAAGCTCTTAAGATCCTCAGGAAAGAAAAACGGTTTCCAC